AGTTGAGAGGTAGCCTAAATGAGGTTTGCTAAAGTTTTTCTTAAAAGATCTTTAGTGTGTAGGTCTTGTTACTCTTACATCTTTGGTACCAATTCAGTTCTTTTAATAAAGGAGGTTAGGGTTAATGAAAGAGGTTAGGTTGTAGTCAAAAAAGCTGTTGACAGAGACAGTATTGCACTCGGTATTGGTAATTGGCAAATAATAGCCAGCGATAGAGCCAGCTTCAGGCGCCATAGATCACAATTGATCCGTACGGCCAGCGAAGTAAGTATGTAAGGTGGTCGTCATTTGTAATCATTCCTAAGAGCATGCACACTTTAAACTCAGTTAAACTTCCGCATCACAAATTAAGCGTCATATTCTCTCATTAACCCTTGACCATATGTCCACACCTTGTTCCATCCAATATGATATTCCTTGATATCTCTCCTCAATAAACAAATTGCCATATTTTTCATCTTTAAAGCAAACGATAAAGAGCGCAAAAGAGTCAATCCAATAAAGAAATTATTAGCTAGTTTACAAATCGGCACAATAAGAAAAGTACACAAACGCACGACATGCCATCATCATCATCATCATCGTCATAAATACATATACTTTTTAATAACATGCTTTGCACTTTCCCCTCCCCTATCGCCTGTGTCTTCCCAATCAATTCAATACCTATTTGTTGCCAGATCGAAAGGTCACGAGTTTAACGGAACAACAGCATTCAGCGACGATTGAGTACACATTGAATGTAATAATGTATAAATATATAGACATGGCATGTCATGTGCATATATGCATGTTGGAGGAGGTCACAATATTCCCTTTCTTTTCTCTCTCCCAATATTGACTTCATTGTTCTCGCCTTATGAATGAGAAACAAAAATGAGAATTAAATTTATGATTGCATATGAGTAATAATAACATGTGTATTTATGCGAACATGAACAATTTAATTTCATTCAGGTTGTGCCGCTTTTCACGAAAAAAAAATGCTGCAGAGGCAGGTTCAGCGAAAATGTATGTAGAATGCATGACTTCTTGGTGGATTTAGGTCTTGAAATTTCGAAATGATTTTTTATAACATTATTGACGTATAAAGCTAAGATTTCAAAGAAGGAATTTGGGCTGTTAAGCCTCTGTTACGGAGTGGTAACTCATCGACCAGAAATTTATTATTCTCGTCTGTGAGAATGTAGGTTCGATTCCCACTAGGGATCAGTGAGGTTCACTTATGACGTCCGACATTTAGGAGGGGGGGTCTAGGATTTTGTGACAGTTCAAACAATGGAAATTTTTTTCTATAGAATTTTTGTGACAGAGGGGGGGAGGGGGTTCTAAAAATCAGGTTTTTGATGGACGTCATAAGTGATCGACCCCTGATCACATTTACTGTTGTCAAAAAACAAGGATTATCCTAGCTACATTAAAAAAGCAATGTATTCACAACACATGGAAGTTCAAAGCAGCCATTCATCATAAAACTCTTATTTTTCCTATATGTAATTTCCTCAATTCAGTATCATGCATGCAGACTTACTAACTTACTTACTTACATTGCACTGCTTTATTGCTTAAAGAAATTTGCGGAATTTTCTCTTTGATGTTATGATACTGTTGCTTTTTTTTCGCTAATTCCACCATTTTTTTCCTTCCTTTCTATGCAGTTTAGTGTGGCGCAACATATTTTATTGTTTGATAATTTACATCGTGATGTATAAGAATAAAAAAAAGTATGTTCTGTGCATGCATAAAAACTTGCTATTGATTAATTATTTAATTATAAAGCAGCAGCCAGCAAGTTTTTTTTTCCTATAACTTGTCAATACTGCAAAGCGAAAGATGAAAGCAGAAAAAAGGTAATTAAGTCTACAACATTGCAAAGTGCTGCCGCATTTTAAAAAGTAATATTACACTAAATGTGCCAGCGAAAGAGACATTAATGTGTGAACGACAAGACACGCACCAAGTCGTGGATGTTGGTCGCACTGATTGAAAATGAAAGCAATGCCGTTTCATTAGCATACTGGCTTAATAATCTGAATTGTACAAATAAAATTTAAGCATGTCTTTGGCATTTTTTGAATGGAATTGTGCTGTTACCATTTACAATTTGTAATTCAGACTGTCCATCATCTCTGGTGTAATGTGAAATGAAGACAGTAATGTCGAAGTTTATTGCTCAATTAGCAGCTTTTATGAGGAATATTTATTTGCATTTACATTTCCCGAGAGTTGAAGTGTTTCAGTAGCTTAGTTGATTATTTGATTGCTTTGTAAGCAGACGCCTTTGAGATGCTTTTGTGGGTTAAAGCATTCATATTTAGACATGTGCTTTGTAAAAAATGCGCTATCAGAAACATAATATGTATCGTTAAGTTATTGTTCTTTTACTGTAAAACGACTACATATCATAGCTTATTTTTCAGTCATCCGAATTTCTTTTATTTCGATCCATTTCGATTTTAATAATTATATCGGATATTGTTGCAATGAAAGGAGAACAATTAAGGTTAATTGAATGTGTTTTACTGTTTAATTTCTTTTGGTTCTGTCTAGACATATATGTCAGTTTTAGTGTCGATCGAAAGTCTTCCTGTAATAGACCAAGTTTTTGCTTTTTGTGAAGATTCTCAACCATGAAAAAATATCACACTTCCGAATTTTAACCTTCAACATTTCAACAGCATCATTTGTTTCCATTCTGCATATTCTACATTCCATTAAGCGTGTTTTTTTGGCACAATTAGATTGTCTTTATATTGTGGCTGTTGAGCCTCTTGTCCATTTAGAACCGGAAAGAGTTCATTTTACAGTAAGAATTAAAAATATTTTGATCATTTCATTGTCTTTGCATTTCAATTAATTTTTGTTTTGTTTCTGGCTCGTTTCGTTCATGCCTGTGCTCGAGCTTTACGAGATTATAAGCGATTGCGGTAATTCTTGATATTTTAATTGTTTTTTGGTCTCTGGAATAGTCTGAAGAAGATGAAAGAAAGTACGATAGAAAGACACATTAGAAACATAAATGGACATGATCATCTAAACTAAAACAATTTCTTTGCTCATCTTTAAATGCCTTTTATGCAACTTTTCCCACACAAATGATTTAAATTCAAATTAATTCATTGCGCGACGCTTAAACCAATGAAATTTTTCTCATTGAGCTGATTCTTTATGTGTTGATGATATGCTGCTGATTTTTGATGGCTGGCTAAATATTCTACTAGATAGCCAGACCTTTTGCTTCTGTTTTGTTCTGTTTAACACCAACTGACATTCTCCTGCATTTTTATTCCTCATTCATTCTCTATGAGCTTATCAAGTTGACGATAATTATCTCATTGGAATTTTCATAGCTGCTTGTTCCATTCATTACATTAATTCACAAATTTACATCACTTTTAAGTGCCACTAGAGATTCCAAACTTCTTCATTCTCAATGAGATACTTTAAAAGATTGAAAATCTATTAAAACATTTTCTGTGCCTTTTTTTTCATTTACTGTAAAATTACAAAACTGCATTTAAATCATTCTGAAAATGTTTCGGGAAGCGCATGGGAAGATTAGAAGCCTAAATTCTGTACAATATTTATCAAATCTTATTACCTTATTAACTGACTACATTTATGTCTAAATAACCGTTAATAAATTCTTCTTCTATGTGTACACAAGCTGATGAGATTAAATCACCGACAAATGACTTGGATAACTTTAAATCAACTCTTGTTGAGCTTCTCATCTTGTTTTATTTCGTTTTGATTTATTTATTTTTTGTGAAGTTTAATTTTATTGCATAATAAACTGAAAAAGAATGAATGGATTGAGTGACGTACTGTGAATGTAAAGATTTCAAATAAATAAAGATGTAACTGCCCAAAAATGTGATAATTTCTTGTTGATCTGAATTTCTTAAAAATCTTAAGTCTCGTGGTCGAAAGAGCTGCATTCAATAAAATCAAATAAATACCTTCCGCTCAAAAAGTGGAACGGAATCGCAAGATAATAAAGAATAGGAACCACATAATTATGACCAATAAATTGCATCATCAAACAACTATTGAACTGTTATTTTGAGAACACAAATGTCATCTTCGAATCTCAAAATAGCTTCAATTGAAATCTGAAGATAATCTTTCCATTGACAAGATTAATAAATCGATGAAAAATAAGAAGAAATTGTGAAAGAAGTAAGCAGAAGAAATAAAATAATGACTTAAAAATATTTTTAATTGCCAATTTCTTGATTCTTATTTCAATTAAATTGAAAATTTTGGCTGTTGAGTTTTGATATTTGGTAAACCAAACTGCTTAATTTGGAAGCAAAATTAATTATTTTACAAGTTTTACCAATTTTAGATGCAACTTTACTCTAAGTTTGTCCATAATCGGAAAGTCAAGAACAAGAAAGAGAATTAAAAAGACGCATGAAATCGGCACATAAATGATCTAAAACAGGCATAAAAATTGTAAACAAAAGAAGAGATTTTTCGGGATTTTTCTTCTTCGGTTATTCTATTTGCAGCTCTTTTTTATGGCATTAACCTGCTCCATCATCAATAGCCATTTAATTTCATCTCTTATTCATTAAATAAATGTTGATTTTTATCACATTTCTGTTATTACTTCTTCCACGTCTTCTTGTTCTTCTTCAATGATTTCAAAAGTATTAAATTGTTTGAGAATGAGTTGCTACAACAAGATAGAACCGACTGACCTATATTCAATGTCGACATTATAAAGAAGTGTAAACAAACAAACGCATTATTTTGAGCCTAAAATGAAATTGATTTATTATTCGTGGATTAATAGCTTTTTTGCGACCACCGTGCAAAAAAAATATGTGTTTTTTATCTCACTTCCTCATCTTTATGTCACTATAATATCCATTAAAAAATTTTATTGTTGAGTGTACACAAATAACAAATTTTATTGCTTGACTTTAAGAGGTCACAACCGAATATGTGATAAATGGCGTTTGCGGTTTTGATTGCTTGTCCCATTTAATGATGATCATAATAATCATAATAATACCGACATCACATCACACGTTTACTTATGCTTATGAATATAATGATAATAAATTTTTTGACATGCTGGTAATTTCAACGAGGTTTACGATACCTAAGACGGTAAAGTAAGCATAAAATTATGTATTTTGTGATTTATGCTTAACGTATTTAAAAGAACGTTTGTGAGGATTAACATTTTTTTCTTGAGGCTTTTATTTGTTACGTAGTAACATCATGTAGCTATTTTTATTATATAAATTTATTAATAATTTCCAAAACTGAATAGCGCAGTTCTTTAGTTGGCCTTAAAAAGAAGTTTTAAAGATCAGGTCGAATTATGTTTTTATGTTGCGAATGATGATGATGATGAGCACGAAGAACTTCATTATATTTTTTAAGAGGCAATTCTTTGCCAAAAAGTCCTATGTCTGGGTTAACTAGTCTACGATTTGATGCCATAAAACCAAAATCTCCGGGATTAGCAGTTTTTGTTCCATCTTCTAATATCAAGTATGATTTTGTGCTTTTAAGTCCTTCAGATCTTAAAGCTGTTCCGAATTTGCTGGGATGCGTTCTTAAGAAATAAGTTCCTATTGGACGAGTTCCATTACTTGAGTATCCCATGTATGCAATTTCATTTGAGTCACAATTTCCTTTTTCAAAGTTATCATAAGAATCACATTTACGTGCTAAAAATCCAGCTTCTTCTCTCACACTTTGTTGGTAGAAAATCCATGCAAATGTATGACTGCAGACATCATCACTGCATCCAGGTTGACTCATTCCACCATTTGGATAAAAATCAGCATGCCCAACGCTATTTACCATTCCATACCTATGTCCATTTGCGTGAATAATTTGAACGTAATCTGCATCATTCCTTGAAATACATCCAAATGTTGATTGTAATTTATAATCCTCAAAATCAGGTCCAGCTGGATCTAAGGCATAAATTTTTGGAATGACAAAATTATTATTTGAAATCTTCCTTAAATGTCTTCCAATTAAACCAGCACATTGCCCACCGAGTGAATGACCAACAATATAGATATTTTTATAGCATGAACAGCCTTGAGTACGAATCAGTTCTAGTTGTCCCGCAATATCCTCGCAAATCTAGTGAAAAAAATTTTAGTATAAAAGTAAGAATGTGATTGAAAATGTATTGTTTTTACCTGCTGTAATTTTTTAACGTTACTAAAATAAGGAACTCCAAATACGAAACGTGAATATGCACTCCAGTCAACAGCAATAAAATTCTGATTTTTTTTCTTTCGATAAGCACTTCTAACTGCCATTACACTGAAATCAAATTCACCATCACCAAGAAATCCATGAATATAAACGACTGTTGGAAGCTTTCGATCAAACTGTGGATTATGGACAATTTCAGCCATATCACTCAACTTGTAACTGTATGCTGTGTAGAGATTTGGACTGAAATAAAGTATATTGAAAATTAATTTTTATTGTGTCTGGCTTTGAATGATGAATACTTACGAGAACAAAACTTTGACATTTTCATCTACACCACCGAAACTTTTCCACCAATCTTTAAAATATGAAAAAAATCCCGCATTACTTCCTTTTAAAGAAGCAGCGACTAAAAGTATTGATAAGAAATATTTGCTCTTCATTCTATAAGATTGTGATGCCTGTTCAAATATACTTTAATAACTGACATCGATTCATTCAGTTCAGAGGATTTTAAACCTTAATAGAAATCCTTACTAATAACTTTTTTGTCCGGCCTTCACATCTCTGATGTGTTTATATGCTGATATTAAGAAAAATTAAATTAATTGAAGAAACAATGTATATAATAAAAAAATCATGATTCTACAGTCTTATCAGTTGCTTGGTACTAACTGTTACTTAATCATTTACTGCTGATGCGTTATTAAATAAAAAATTTATATAATTTAATTTATGACAGATGTCGGTGATAGATTAAGAATTAAAAGGAAAACTTTAGTTGATTCCAAAAACTGGGATGTTTTGGAATTCCTTCAATTTTTATTGCATTTTATTTATCGAAAGAAAAGATTTTTTCCAGCTGAAAAAATCTCTCAGCAAGAACAATTGTTTTTTTCATTCACTTGAGTTTTCATCTTGATAATGATTATCACGAATTTGTTGATTACGAAGCATTTCGTTAAATCTTTCCAATGGAATCTCATTTGTAGAATTTCTGTCATCAAGATTAATTTTATTAGGTTTTAAATGACGTAAACCATATCCCATAGTGTCGGATGTTTTGGTTCCATTTTCAAATATCAAGTATGAGTTGGTTCTTTTAAGACCTTCTTCACCCAATGCAGATCCAAATTTGCTTGGATGGGTTCTTAAAAAATAAGTTCCCATTGGTGAAGTTCCATTGCTTGAGTATCCCATGTATGAAACTTCATTTGAGTCACAATTTCCATTTTGAAAATTATCATATGAGTCGCATTTTCGGGCCAAAAAAGCACCTTCCTCTCTGATACTTTGTTGGAAAAACATCCAAGCATATTGGTGACTGCATGAATCATCATTACATCCAGGTTGACTCATTCCACCATTTGGATAAAAATCAGCATGTCCAACAGCACTTTTAACTCCATATCTATTGCCATTAGTGTGTATTACTTGAACGTAATCTGCATCATTCCTTGAAATGCCATCAAATCGTTTGCTAAAAACAAAAGGTATTCTTTTCTCAAAATCTGGTCTAGCTGGATCCAAAGCATAAATTCTTGGAATAATAAAGTTCTCGTTAGAAATTTTTCTCAAATGTCGTCCAACTAAACCAGTACATTGACTACCAAGAGAATGTCCAACAAGATAAAAGTTTTTATAGCATGAACAGCCTTGAGTTCGAATCAATTCTAGTTGAACTGCAATTCCTTCACAAATCTGAAAAAAAAACACAATATTTGATGCAGTTTTATTTTATAATTAAATTAGTTTCAATTATTTACTAGCTTTAATTTTTTAATGTTTCCTAAATAAGGGATGCCTGACGTGAAATATGAGAATACACTCCAGTCAATCGCAATAAAATTTTGTTTATTCTTCTTCCGATATGCACTTCTTACTGCCATTGTACTTTCCTCAAATTCACCATCATCAAGATAACCATGAATATAAACGACTGTTGGGAGATTTTGGTCAAATTCTGAATTATGAACAATATTTGACATTGATTCCAATTTGTAACTGTATGCTGTGTACAGATTTGGCCTGAAAAAAGTAGTTTTAAAATAAAATAATAAACTTTATTTGAATAAATTTTTTAATTTACGAGAACAAAACTTTGACATTTTTTCCGATACTTCCAAAACTTTCTTTCCAGCCTTTCAAATAGTCTAATATATCTCCATTAATTCCAATTATGAATATTGAAATTAAAAAAAGTTTCAATAAGTTTTTGTTCCTCATTTTACAATGAAGAGACTGTTCTAATTCACTTTAGCAACTGGAGCTTTTCATTCAGTTCAAGGAGTTATAAATCATAAAGGCTTATCTAGAAATTTATTTGTCCAGCCTTTACATCGATAGATTGTTTTTGCAATAATAATTTGAAAAGTCATCAATTTTATTTCTATTTTTAAAAAGTTCATTTTCAGCTAAATCAGGAGCAGAAAAATGTATTTAATGTGATGTAACCAAAATGTTTGCTATCAGAATGAAAAATTATTCGATTCTTTTTTTATTTAAACATTCGAACCAGAATAAAATATTTATTATCGTTACAGCAATATTATGGAAATTTTAAATTAATAAGCACCTCATTCACTGGAATTTTCATCTTGTAAGCGATTTTGATCAATATGTTGTCTATGAAGCATTTCGTTATATCTATCCAATGGGATTTCATTTGGAGAATTCCCTTCATTAAGATTAGTAACATTAGAAACTGGTGCACGGAAACCATAGATTCCAGTATTTGTTTGTTTCGATCCATCTTCTAATATTAAGTATGAAATGGTTCTCTTCAAGCCTTCTTCACGCAAAGCTGGTCCAAATTTACTTGGATGGGTTCTTAAGAAATAAGTTCCCGTTGGACGAGTTCCGTTGCTTGAAAATCCCATGAAACTGATTTCATTTAAGTCACAATTTCCCATTTGAAAATTATCATAAGAATCGCATTGTCTTGCTAGGAATCCACCTTCTAGTCTAATACTTTGCTGATAAAATATCCATGCAAATGTGTGACTGCAAACATCTGATTTACATCCAGGTTGACTCATTCCACCATTTGGATAAAAATCAGCATGTCCAAGACTTTCTGACAATCCATATCTATTTCCGTTTGTGTGAATAATTTGAACATAGTCTGCATCGTTCCTGGAAATACAATCGAAGCTTTTATGCAAGTGAATTATTGATTTGGTCTCAAAATCGGGCCCAGCTGGATCTAAGGCATAAATTTTAGAAATAACAAAATGATTGTTTGAAATTTTCTTCAAATGTCGCCCAACTAAACCAGCACATTGCCCACCAAGTGAATGACCAACAAGATAAAAGTTTTTGTAGCATGAACAGCCTTGATTACGAATTTTGTCCAATTGAACAGCTATTTCTTCGCAAATCTAAGCATTAGAAATATTTTAAAAAATAGTTTGGAGTTAAGCATATATGTTAAATTACTTGTCTTAATTTCCTGATATTATTAAAATAAGGTACTCCGACTGTGAAATGAGAAAAGGCACTCCAATCAACGGCAATAAAATTTTGATTATTTTCCTCCCTATAAGCATTTCTCACTGCCATTACACTTTCATCAAATTCACCATCTCCAAGATATCCGTGAATATAAATGACTGTTGGAAGTTTTCTGTCGAAGCCTCCGTTATGAACAATGTCATGCATATTTTCTAGGTTGTAGCTGTATGCGGTATACAGATTTGGACTGAAATAAAGTTTTTTTAAATTTTATTTTTGTTTGGTCTTTAATGAATTGATAACTTACGAGAACAATACTTTGACATTTGTTCCAACACTGCCTACACTTTCTAAAACATTTTTAATTCCATCAATAATGATCCAACCATTGATTGATCCTACAAAAGCTAATAACGAAGTTAACAAGGAATGTTTCAATCTCATTTTTAAATATTGAAGTGACTGTTCTGATCGTCTTTAGCTACTGAAAGTATTTCATTCAATTTATTGAGTTATAAAGTTGAAAAATTGCTTATAATGTGATTTTTAAAATTACTTCATATCAGAAGATTATTTATATTTTGTGCCGATTCAGCTGATTGAGAAACACAGAAAAGCAGAGTTGTGATCTGTCACAGGCTCGGATCTGTTATACATGAAGGCAGATTTGATAAATCTGAAAAGAGGCGATTGTCTGTGACACGTGAAAAAAAAACCTTTTTGCAAAAAACCTGCCTCAATATCATTTTAAATTCTGAAAACTAATTAGTTTCAGCAAATTTGATTAGACTGAGCTTTAAAGTTATGTATTTCCTTGTATCTACACAGAACTAAAGTGTTAAATGATTGTATGTTTTGATGACACGATGCGTGAACTAAGCTTCTTATTACATATTTCTTAATGTTTATGGTTTAACCTTTTTCATCTAATAATCAAAACATAACAAGCAACTATTGACCCAGAGACTACAGTTGCTGCCCATTTTTACATGGTTTCGGGCGCAAAAACATTCACATTAATTTATTAAACTTTCCATCTTCGAGAGTAAATTAACTAAATCGATCATCGCGTGTTAAATGATAAACATCTAATAAGTTAACAGAAGACTTGGATTGCGAGGCTTTAGCACTTGACAATTATGTATAAAATTAAATGAGGATTAGAAAGGTGCTGATTAATTTAAGATGGATGAGCTTACTGATATGTTTAATATAAGTCAGCATCGTCATTATAAATACATTAAATGATTTCTAATTAGACGTTTATCTTATTTTTGAACTAGATTAAATCTTTGTAATTTTCTTGTTGTAGGTTTGATTTTACACTAGATTTTATAATTAATGCTTAAAATCACACCACGATCAAAATTAAATGAAATATGTGAATCCCTGAAGTGAATTAACTGTGAAATATTTTGAGCATTTTTTGCTGTTAACTTTAAGATTTCATTAAGATTTGTAAAGATATTTCAACAATGTGAATTCGGTTAAAAAGAAAATTTTTAAAGTTTACTGGATTAAAGGAATTCAACTAAGTTTAATGAAACATTATTAATAAAATATTTCGAACAAGTTCTCATCCCTTAAATTTTTTGTGAAGCATTAGATCTTCAGCGCGTGATCTATTCATATTCGCTTCCTCTCATCGACATTTTTCATTTCCCCGAATTTTTTGTTGTTTTTACTTCTTTACTTTTGCTTCCTTTTAATGATGAATACCCTTTTACTGGTGATTTACTTGATTCTTTGATCAACGCATTACTTGCTGCTTCCCATTAAAATAATTGAGCTTGTGTGTCTTGAAGGTATGTGACAAAATTCTCGCCATCAACATCAACAACTTTAGCACCATTCTTCAGATTATTCAGACAAGTATTATTTTTGGATCATAAAATGCAGAATTGGTTCTAAATTACGTAATTTGCCGTTTTGATTCCTCAATTTTATGTTGATTTACAATCATAATCTGAATAATATGCAGTTGCAGCATTTGTAAATTTGGCACAAATTTTTTGTGGTCTCTTTAGACAATCTTTCTTCTTACGAGTCATAGCTACACAATTCTCAAAAGCTGCAATGCTCCAATAGCTGAATATTCTTTTAATTTCTTATCATGTGGTCCTGGATTCTTCAATGTTGGTTCAGCAGTTCCATAATACCAAGTTGCACTCAAAATATATTTCTTTTTTTCAATCATTCAAAAACTTTTTTGTATGGTTGAAACTGAAAAATGCCAAAGAAAATGAACCCCCAGCAACCATTGAAGAATTCTTTCTTTAATTAAAATATTTCCAAACATAAACATGGTCAACAACAATTATAATCAAAAAATTGTCATCGATTCAAAAGAAATCATTAAGGAACTAATCATCATTATCAGTATCATCTGTGTCATCAATAATTAAATTCAAGAAAACTGTCATCGATATTTTTCAAGAAAACTGTCATCGATATTTTTCAAGAAAACTGTCATCGATATTTTTCAAGAAAATACATCAAGAATATTTTCTCGATTATTGTCATCAAAAGCGAGCTGTTATTGATTACTATCATCAGGAAGATATCGCCTATACGTAAATTGTAATGGACGAGAAATCAAGGCCTGGACAATTTTATAGAGGTAATCACACGTTGATTTCTGATCATATGCATTTCGTCTCCGAATGCTTCTTGTAAATCCTTCATAATGTCGTTGATAAGTGAATCTTCTTAAAGATCATAGCTTATCTTCTATCCTCAAATAGTTATCGTAGTCATATCTTGTCTGTTCTTTGCATGTATGAAAGTTGACAGTATTTGGCGGTACAATGCTTGGTTTCCGAGCCTAGAATATTTCATGGACATAAATTAATTCACAATTTATTTTTTACTTATTTACTAGGGGTTCTAAAATCGGGAATATTCCCGGGAATTCCCGGGAACGGGAATCCTTTTCCTGTTCCCGTTTCCCGAAAATCTGTCGGGAATATTCCCGAAATTCCCGTTTTCATACAAAAAAAATTACAAAAGTCCTCGTGTTATTGATCGAGGGACTTCAGCGCATTTTTGACGAAGCGATCAGTATTTGATTATAATTAATAATTTGCTGCAATGAATTTCCATATAGAAAAAGTTTATCATTTAACGGTTTTTTAAAATTTGAAATTTTACAACGGCTAGAAAAAATTTGAAATTATAGAGGTAAATTTGAATTTATAGAGGTAAAACAAAATTTGAGCAGGTTACACTGAAAACAAAACAAAAACTCATTAATTATAGCATAAATACACTGCTTGAAGACTTTTAACTGTTCGATCGGACAATAAACAATAGTAACGGAGCTAATAAAACAAATCCGAGCTCTCTACGATGTCTGGTTGCAAAGTTTTTATGCTTGCCTGAACGAACTAACGAACGAACGAACGAACAAAGTGTATTATTGAGCTCCCTTTTCGAAAACAAGTTTTCAAAAATGCGCTAAAAAACCGACAATTCAAATTAGTTTTTTTTTTATTTTGTATTTTCCATGAAGTTTCATTGTTTACATTTAAGTTTGATCCAAGTCTATTAAGTATGAAATATTAATTTTCAAATATTTCTTTGTACTCTTATTTTCTTAATGTTTTACTCATTACTCGATTGTGTTACTAAGTAACGCCAAAAGAATTGAAATAATTCTTTAATTAACCACTTTTCAGTCCATTAAGTAGAAAATGATGTTTTAAATGGCCTACGAAAAGCTTATTTGCAGTAGAATAGTCTAAAGATGTAAAAAATCAATTTGGAGAAAAATTTGTAGATAAATCGTTTCATGGAATTGCCCATAAGCTATTTACTGGAACATGAAGAAATACCGTTTTTTTTCAAAAATTTTTCCGAAACAAGATAATTAAATTCAAAATATCCGTTAAAAATGCTCAATTGTAAATAAATGTAAACAAACGATTGAAATTGACATGAATAGGAGCTGAATACACCCTTAATTAACGACAGAAAATGTGAAATTACAATCAGTCAAAAAATATCAAATTTCTCAGCAACCTTTGACTTTCGATTTTTTCACAATTTTCTTCAGTTTAATTCTTTAAAGACGTGTTTTCAAATATTGTTGCAAATCGGTGCAAATAAATTGGAACTTGACATTATTAATGCTTAAAAAGAAGTGGAGTTCAAGATAAAAGTGATAGTGAAGTGCTAAAATGGAAACAACAGTGAAAATAAGCCAAAAGTGATGAAAAAATTAAAAGTAAAGAAAAAAATGAAAAATTTTCTGAGTGAACATTGAAAGTTAAGAAAATTAAATTCAAGAAGCTGTAAAATTGAAGTGAAAGTGAGATTGATGAAGCTTGAAGGAACCAGGACACAATTAAAGAAGCAAGAGGCTAGTGACAACGAAGAAAAAGCTAAGTATACTGATAAATAGGACATTCAAGGGCCACTTTAACTTAATTGATCTACGTCATCTGAAACACATTCAGATTTTCAAATTCCTTTTCTTTAATGAAACCAGCCATTTGACTTTCTACATTTGCGTACGTAATGCTTGCAATACGTGAAATGATTACTTAAAAACGCATTGCATTGAGTATTAAATTTCGTCAGCCTTTGTTGATGTAAATTAAGAGTGGGAGTCGTTGAATAGGTCAGAGGGGGGTCGATGCAAGATGAGGAGGGGTAAAACTTGAGGGAGCAAAGTCTTTTGACCCTTTTTTTAAAAAGTTTTTCTGTTCTTGTTTTTTTTTTGTAAATTGAGCCTATGAGTCATGTGTTTCTGTCTGTGAGACTTACTATCGTGGCTATTGATTGGTTCATCCTTGATGTAGAGTGGCATCAAGGACATTGATTGCTTGCTCGTAAATGAGACTTGCAATTTTTTGTCTAGATGCCTGTTCTCACACACAGCATTAGACTTACATCAGGTCCAATGACGTATCGTGTAGTTTAATGTGAAAAATGAGCCTCTGATGATTTGGGTTGTAATCAATAGAAGCTTAATTACAAGCGTCTAACCCTAACCCTAAATTGTGGTTATTTTTCATGCTCAGGTGTGTGGTAAAGAACGTTTTTGCCTCTATCTCGGACTGTTCTGATTCAAAGCCTGAAATGTGAGCAGTAATGGAATGAAAACACGATTGATTCATTTCCTTGGTTGAAATTAAACTTGATATGATTAACTATGAAAGAAGAACCATCAAAAAATTTGCTTTCTCAGTTTAATCCCTCCTTCATCTTGCATCAGCTTCTCTCTTACCTGTCCATCGACTTCCATCTTTAACTTACATCGAGAAAGAGCGAACGGAACATAGTACTTAATGTTATGTGATTTTACTTAATCATTTTACGTAACGTAGGCTTTACGTGAGCCTTTTTGAAAGTTTTTCTGACTAATTTGCATCAGAGAAAGTGAATTTGATATCATGAAACTTCAATTTAAACAGCAAATCTTAATTAAGAATTAAATTTATTTTGATTTTACTAATTCGTTTTTAAAATTGCCATATATTTTAGGTTCTTTAAGGAGCAGCACTTATAGCCATCATAAAACATTTCATATGTTGTGTTATTTTCTTCACATTTGAACAATTACTCATCGTTCACACACAAGTAAGCACATAGTATGAATATTTGATAGAAATTGGATTTATATAGACTTTTTTAACTGACAAACTACAGAAGAATTGTCTTGACGATGTCTTATTGTCTTGACGATGGTCAATCATAGGGGTTCTAAAATCGGGAATATTCCCGGGAATTCCCGTTTTCATACCAAAAAAAACCGACAATTCAAATTAGTTTTTTTTTATTTTGTATTTTCCATGAAAAAATCTACAATTTAAAGAAAAAAATTATAATAATGAAATCATACGTTAAGGAATTTAAAAGTTGAAATATTAAACTCAAATTTGATGTTTTTTAAATCAAAAACATATATTTAAAGTAATTTTTCCAAAATAAAAAAACGTGCTTGAAATTAATATTTCTGGAATCCACCAACATCTGCAAGAGCTGAACGTAACTTTTCAATCTCCAATAATATTGTCTCAAAAAATCGCAGTAGATTGCTAGACCAGTTAAAATCGTACTTTAAGAATTGTTCTAAAACCAAAAAGAATTGAATTTCAAACGGAAATTATTGTCAAAAGAATCAATTTGACAATCAAATCAAATAGAATTTAAATTTGATTTAAAAACCCAAATAAAATACATGGTGTAAGTGTAGCTATTAACTTTTTTTTTTGTTGATTCCCGGGAATATTCCCGTTCCCGGACATCATTCCCGTTCCCGTTCCCGATTCCCGAAATCTTACGGGAACGGGAATTCTGGAACCCCTATTATTTACATCCAATTGATTGATATCGTCACAATTTTTCTTTTTCACTATCGTTATGCTTTTCGTGGTTATCACTCAATTCAACAGTTTTATATTCAACTCAACATCTTAACTAATTGTTATGACATAATTCATATTAACAACTCTGAATCCCTTTGATTCTTCGTCATATCCAGAAACTTCATTTTTTACGCCTACAAATCTAATTTTTTTTTTGCCAATCATCAAGTATTTTTACATAGACTTCACATCCAAATTGATGAAATTGACTATAATTTGGTTTCGTACCAGTAAAACATTCTTAAAACGACACATCTTTGTAGTTGCTCACAACTCTTTTTAAAACATAATTTGCTGTGCTCACTGCCTCTGCAGAAAAAGTCTTTCGTAAATGAGCATCTTGTATATCCAACAGGACATCATTCATATAAATCGCTTTGAAGAATATTATTGATATATCTGTTCTCATAGCCTAACAGACAAAGATTAAGAATATCCAGAAGTTTTGTGGTTTTTATTTGGACGCATTGTTTCTCAAAGGAACTGCTATTAAGAAAAATGCCCAAACAAAATTTTGTTCATGAGAAATTTCGTGCGAGAATTTCAAAACTGATTTTTCATAATTTTTTTTTACTCTTTTCAGGATAAAAGCCGGACTATTCATTTGAAATTCATGAGCTGTCTGTCACTCGAACTCACTCGTGATGAATATGCTACTTGTGACCAAATATGTGAAGTGATTGTAAGTCATTATACACATTTTTACTTTTTGTTTGATTGTCCCAAAAATTGTCGGGACTCAGAATTCGAATAAGCATAAGTAAGCTTTTTTAAGTTTTAAGCTTTTTTTATAATTTTCACCGTTCTAGTAATGAAGCTTGGTTCGTGTTTTAAGTGTAGTTATGAGTTATTTGGCACATAACGTGTGTTCTTTGCCAAGGGTCAGACACTCCAACAGAATTGTAAAGATTGTACAATTCTTCACAATCCATATGGAAGAATTGTAAAGATTGTACAATCCTTACAATCCTTACAATCTTTATATGAGAAGGATTGTAGGGATTGTAATTCTTACAATCCTTTCCATATAAAGATTGTAAGGATGAAATAAATGTATGGAACATTTAAAAATGTTTTTCATTGGTTATTAGAGAAGAAATATTAATTTAATATTAAAAATTTATTTGTTTGAATTTAAAGAACGAAATAAGCTTGATATGTCAATTTTGTCCGTTGTAAAACTACGCAGATGGTCACCCTAAACCAGGGTGATTTAAATCAAAAATCAAATTCAAAATCTTTTTGCAATGATTTAAATCAAAAATCAAATTCAAAATCTTTTTGCAATGATTTTAAAAAAGGATTTTGATTTAAATCATTTTTTCAAAGGGATTTTATTGGGATTTTAAAATCCCTCCATGTAAGATTTTTGTTTTCAATTTCTCAAATTATTTTTCAAATCAACAGTTTTCAGTTGCAGTTCCTAATAAGTAAGAATGAAGTTGATCCTTTTTTGGCCTGAATCTTGCAACTGGATCTTTTAGATCCAAATATTTGCAATGGTTCCATGCTGTTTGACTTAAACGAAATCCAATTTGTGATTTTTAATCTTCTGTGCCTTGCTGCTTGCATATAAATAACTGGACTTCATCAAGCATGCCTGGATCTTACTTCATATGAGGATTTACCTGCTTTAAATCCTTTAAAACACTTAAATATATTTTATTACACCACATTAGTTTAATGAGTCATAAGCAAGAATAGGCACTTGAACCGCCTAGTTCCTTTACATCCACAAAAATTTTTGTTTTGTTGCTTTTTCATCAAGGATTCACCTCTTGAAATAGCATGGAACCATTGGTTGCTGTAATCTTTCTTTAAGAACTGCTTGGATCTAAAAGATCCAGTTGCAAGATTCTGGCCAAAAAATGATCAACTGCATTCTTACTTTAGGAACTGCAACTGAAAACTGTTGATTTGAAAAATAATTTGAAAAATTGAATACAAAAATTTTACATCGATGGATTTTTAAATTCCAATAAAATCTTCCATACAATAGATTTAAATCAAAATCCCAAAAAAAAAACACCATACAAAAATGATTTAAATCAAAATCTCTTTTAAAAATCATTGCAAAAAGATTTTGATTTTGATTTTTGATTTAAATCACTCACCCTGTTCACAAGTGTAAAAATTATACTTTTTACAACTTTTTAATGAGTTGAAATGTATGTAAATTATTGCATTTTAAATATAATTGTTTTCAAAGAAATTTCTGACTTTCTTCATTTTTTGTATTTTATCTTATTTTTTAAAAATAAATGGACATTATTTTTTGTTTAGTAAGGATTGTACAATCCTTACAATCCTCATATAGAAAGATTGTAGGAATTATATGAAAATGATTGTAGGGATTGTAAGGATTGTGCAATCCTCACAATTCGTATGGAAGGATTGTAAGGATTGTACAATCCTTACAATTCTGTTGGAGTGTCTGACCCTTGTTCTTTGCTAGGTATACAAGGATATACTTAAATTTGAATTACTTCTTTGTGGCAACTGGTGCACACGAATTGTGACTAGGTTCATTGAAGGGTACATCAGGTCTTTGGACGTACTTTGGTTTGGGGGGGGGGGGTCAATTGGAGGATTCAATTTTGTAAGAGGAGGCGTACGGTTGCTTGTTTTAAAATAGGGAAATTATTATTTATTTTACAAGCTTTAAAGGATCACAACCGGACGAATTGTTTAAAGTTGTTTGGGTTATGAGAGGGTTATTGAATAATATTTAAGTTTTTAAAACAAAAAATGTACAAAATTTAGCTATCTTGCGGGGTTTTATTGTAGGATTAATCTTACTGCCGTTGAATCAGCGCCAAAAAAAATTAAAAAAAATACGAAAAAATCAAAAAAATTCACAAAAAAATCAAAAAACTTCCAAAATACAAAAAAAAAATTCAAAAAATTAAAAAATTGCAAAAAAAATTAACGCTCAAAAATCCAAAAATAAGCCAGTTTAAAATTTTGCACCGCCATGCCAAGCAGAAGAAGAACAGAAGCGAAAGGAATAGAATTAATCGAGCAGAACCAATCCAAAAGGAAGAATTGATGTAAATTCGAATGGCTCAACAGCAAGTAACTTGAGAGACTCAACAAATCAATCTCATTTGAAATTTGGTAGCTTTAAGAAATATGTGCGGCGGAATAAATTATTGGCAAGGAAATAATGAACAGGACAAGTCATAAAAAGTAAAAGCAACAATTAAAGACCATTGGCTGTGACATAATCCCTAGCAGAAATTAACTAGTAATTTCTTAGTAATTTACTGGATAACTTTCCATTTGCTACTTGCTATTTACTAGTCAAAATCCAAGTTCAAATCATCGCCAAAGACCCGCATTTTCACTTGCAAATTGACTAGTTACGCTCTTGTGAAGTATATGGCAAATGCCAAATTTAGAACAAAATTTTTTATGACGCAAAAAATTCTTTTTATGACGCAAAAAATTCTTTTTATGACGCAAAAAATTCTTTTTATGACGCAAAAATTCTTTTTATGACGCAAAAAAATCTTTTTATAACGCAAAAAATTCTTTTTATGACGCAAAAAATTCTTTTTATGACGCAAAAAATTCTTTTTATGACGCAAAAATTCTTTTTTTGATGAGTTTTCGTAAGATTCGAACTTAAGCAGATTTGATCAAACATTTAACTTGATAATTTGCTAGGTAATAGCAAGTGTAATTTATTAACAGTAAGTTGCTTTAATAATAACTAGTAAATTGCAAGTTTTAGAATAGAAAGACTAGAAAATTGCTAACTTTGACTACGCTATTGCTTCTCACCACTGTTTCCAAAATAAATCGTCATCAGATGACGAAAAATTTACGAAACATGCAATCAACGATTAAACATATGCAACTCAACGAGCGATGCAAAGATAAAGTTGGAATCAACTGAAGTGAGCAGTGAACAGTTTTAGTTCTAGGAGGAAAAGTAAAACTCAATTTATTAAATCATCCACAGCCAATAACGACATTATATCAAGAAACAAAAGTTGACCACAAAGTTTCGTGTTTTGTGAAGCCTTCAAGTGAGCAATTTGTGTTTCTATTGCCATTATTTTCATGGATCATGAAACTGTACATTAAAGTATGGTACGATAGGATGAGACGACACCGCTGAATCATGATGAGAACATTTTTGTAAGTCATCCAAAACTTAGATCAAGAATTAATGTATTTTTTTATAGCTTTAAACTTATTTTTGTGTTAACAAAAGGAGAAATCGCCCCACCGTCCTGCCCAATTTTTTTTTCGTGACTTTTTATAGTTGCAAAAGCTTTTAAGCCGCACCAATGTTTTAAATTTTATTTCATACAACTGTGTTGAAATGCAGTTAAATTCAACGACAGTTGTGTTCACTTATTGTTAAATTTTCGTTTCTCAATTGTTACAAAATACAGCATCCGACTTGATTCGGAAACAACAGCACCTTGTGATATCCGACTCGACAACCAAAAAATATTGCTGGACCTAATCATCGACAGAACAAACAAAGAAAGCCAGGACTTTTACAACATCGTACTGCTTGAAAATAGAAAAACAGAAGGTAAGTAATTTTTTTTGTTTCGGTTTCATGTAATGTCTTCTGTACCACGTTTTGCTTTTCTCGAATTGTTATCCTAATTTAAATATATTGGTTTTAATTTCGTTTAAATTCAGTCAATCAATGACACTAAAATGTTGATCTAAGAGTAAAAAAACTGCGAACAAAAAAGAAATTAAATTAAAATTCTACTTCTTTTGTCAATGAATATTTTAATCAGTAACATTGCATTAAAATCTTCAATAACTTATTATTTTATTCATTATTAAAATTCGTCAGCAATTCTAAATGGATGCTTAAATAATGATGTACTTAATTTACTCATCAATTTCTTTTAATGCCATATTTGTGCCAATTTTTCTCACTTAATAGCGTTTTCACTTTCATCATCTTTCTTATCCAATTTTCCCCATACAAAAATTTTAAAGTGAATTCCATGTCCATATTTACCATTAACGTCAATTTTAACAAATTTAAAGCCCTGTCCTCCAGAATTATATGTCGGCACTGCTCCACTTCCCGCAGGCAATTGATCAAATAATTTTATGCATGTAATCGAGTAAGGTGAATCAAGATAAACTTCTATAACGCCGCTAAGTGTTGAATTGTTTGATTCGAGTCGAGTATCATCAACGTATATTAGCTAACAATAGAAGTCAATAATGCATAATCAGCTTTCGGTTTTATTGAGAGAAAATTATGGTTAAATAAATTTTTTAATGCTGTGATTTTTGAAGACAATGGTGTGAATGCTGTCACATTAGGTGATCAGAAATTTAGAAATTATTAAAGGTCTGGAAAGTAATAATGAAACTGATGACTAAATCATCAATAAGAGACATTAGGAGAAACATTATTGACCTACAGCAACATTTATTTTTACACCAATTTTCACCAGGGGCGTAGCCAGAAAATTTTTAAGGGGGGGCCCATTTTCGAAGATTAAAAAACCGTTATTTTGTATCCTTAAATCTATATTCATTCTTCATAAATTTAAATATTAAATTCATTATTCATACATTAAATTTAATTTTTCGTCCTGATTTTGACATTTCTTTCATCACTTCCTCTGCATTAACTGGTTCTTCTCTATAAATACTTAATAAAACAATTATCAGATTTTCGTAGGTGGGCCCGGGCCCCGTATTGCCCCCCCCCCCCCCCCCCCCCTGACTACGCCCCTGATCTTCACCATGCACTTCCCCATCATTTTAAATAACATCTTTTACCTTATCGTCATCCTCACATTTTCCTAGTTCAATATTATTTGGCAATATTGGTTTTGGTGTTGTCGTGGGAGGCGGTAAAGTAGTTCCTTTTAACCACCTTTCTATAAAACTATTACGTTTGTGTTTAATTTCTAATTCATCATTATTTAACGGCAAGCTTAGAACAGTTGTAACAGCTATGCAGATCAATATCATAAAAATAGATATTTTGAAGTAATTATTCATGCTTATTTTATTAGTCTGGAATTATTTCCAGTGAATTTGTTTCAAGAGCGTTTTTTTGTGTTTTCACTGTCTACGAAGATTATTTCATACTGATTCTGTGAGAGTTCTGTTGATTAATTAATGAGGAATTAAACTGTTATCAATATTCAAGGTCTCATCTCATTTCTACTCTCTGTTTTAATGTCATTAATTTTTCATGATAGAATGTCTTCATGCTCTTTTGAATATGTATTGAAAATATTGCAAAATGCTTCTCGAAAATCAATTTTAATATCAAACTTTATTTGTTCTGATCGATATTATAATAATATCCTAATAGAGTCAAGGCATAACGAATTCTTAAACTTTTAAGGCTTTTCATATCAAATGGTTTGTGTCCATACTAAATATGGCACTTTTATTAACTGTGCCTGTAAATTTGAACATTTCTATAGCTTTGTATTAGAACTTGCATTAGTAATTACAAGTTTGCATGCTTCAGGAATTAATTTCACCACAAAGCATGAATAACTCAACATTTTAATCTTGCAAAAGCTTAGTAAAGCCAAAATTCTTTTATTTCCTGTTAAAAATTATTTTTATAACTTTCTCGGTTTCATAAATTGTTCGATAATAGGATCGGTTACGGCCTTCTTCTTGTCTTGATGACTTGTGATTATTTCTTGAATACATTCAATAGCAAGCTTCTTAATTTCGCCAGTAAGCATTTCACCAGAACTGTATGCTAGTCTAATTTTCTCTAATTCGTCATCGTCTGGAAGGAAGTACTTAAGGATATGATAAGCAACGTCTACAGTTGTGTCACCGCCTAATTCTCGATGCTCTTCGACAGTTACTTTGCCACCAGAAAATGCATGCTTATTAACTTTCGTTTTTATCTGCTTTGCTGTATCATTAAGGAATATAGCTGTATTTGCGTCACTTGATGACATTTTCGTTGTGACTCCACTTAGTGCTGGAATAAATTTACAATGTAGAATAGCCGGTTCAGGAAATCCAAGTGCTGGTGAAATTTCTTTCATCAATTGAAAGTATGGCTCTTGATCGATACCACAGACGCATAAAGCTTGAACTTTTTGATCGCCAAACATTTGAGGGAAAGTATTTGAAAGTGTTGGAATCAATTGAATGGATGGAAAGACAATTTTACCAATAGAATCTGAGTCGTTAAATCCAAAAGTCTCTTTAATTTTCCCATAAGTAACACTTTTTCGTACTCGAATGATGTTTCTATAATATTCAGGCTCTTGTCTGTGAGAGCAAAGCCAAGTTAGATTCAGTAAATACTTAAACATTTTAGTATTTCTTACCCCATGTATGTAAAACTTGAGAATATAAAAGTTTTGGATACATCAAATCCCATAGAAATGATTTCCTTCGTTGTCTCCTTAACTAGCTTGTTGACATTCTCTACTTTTAAATCTTTCCACAAAACAGCTTCATCGTCAGTCAATTGAATGACAACAGGCACATTAAAGACTTCTTGGAGCCATCTATATTTGAAGAAATTGCAGAAAAATATTGCATCATGTTGGATATTAATCATGTCACTTACTTTGTAATTGTAAATTGCATTAAATGTCCCAAATGCACTGCTTCCGATGGACTGATTCCAGTGTACAAATAGAATGGCTTTTTATTGACATGCAGATCTAATATTTGCTCAAAATTTCGATGCGAAATCAGAAATCCTCGCTTAATTAAATAGTGAACTGAATGTCCAGTTATAGTTTCAAACTTTTTCACTAATTCATCACTTAACTTTTCAACTTTAAACTTTTCTATCACTTTATCGTAATTGATTCCATCGTTATTAACACCTTGGACAGTCCATGGAGTGATGATATCCTCGTTAATTCCTAGTTTTTCAATATTTTCTTCGAGCATTTCCGATTTGTTTTTGTTCAACGTGTGTACTTTTTTGGGGCACTGCTTGATGCAATTTTTGCACCATTAAAGCGAATTGACATCTAGTTTTATTGAAATAATTAATTAAAATAAGCTTATTGAATATGATTTATAAAGTTTAATATCAGTAAAGAAGGTGAATTAAGGTAGAATTGCGCAATAAAGTTAAGTTAAGTTTAACGGGTAAATTAATTTTAAATCGTTTGTTTATGTTAAGTAGATTGCATGTGTGAGAGTTCGTGCTTACACAATCTCTTTGGTTGTGTGAGTATTTTTAAAATTGAAAATTGTGAACGAAATAAAAATTAATATTTTTAAATTATCTCTTTAATCGTCAAGTTTAAAAGATGGAAAATCGTGTAATATTGCTCGGAAAGCATAAATGATAATGAGTTTTGTGAAGAAAATCTGTGAAAATGAGTGAAAAGTGAAAAAAAGTCATTTCTTTTTACGCCCTTCTCCATCTTATATCAAAATTTTTTAATTTCATCTAAAATAAAGTGAAAAATAATTCATAATAGGAGATAAAAGATTAGTTATTCTATTAAAAGTGATTTAAAACATATTCACATAAAATCCATCGTAAAAAAGTGATATAAAAATGTCGAAATTCGAGCGGATGAGCAATAGCGGCCCAAAACCATCTACAAACTTTTCAAAACCAGCCACAACTCGGTATTTTGCTGCTTGGGAAGTGGATAGAACAGCTCCAAATTGTGTACCAAGGTGAGTTTTAGTGATAACTGATAAAACAAAGACACGTAATTCGTTGATAAAGTCACAAAAACAGATTAACTTCTTTTTGTGCCTTGCAAAATTTCCTGATTATTCACAATATATGTAGAGAGTATAAAGGAATAAGAAGAACGAATAGATGGAATGGAAAAAAAAGTGAAAGAGATAGAAGAGAAAAAAAGTGTATGCGAAGTTCATTGATCTACATAGAAATGCATTAAAAGTGACCAACTAATTATTCTAAATTACACATAATCATCTATACACGCAGTATAATTTAAAGAATGAATGCAATGAAGGGGAGAATGGTTAAAACCAAAATCAAATGCTAACGGAGTAATAGAGGCTGATAAAATAAAATAAAATGTTCAACCGGGAGCATTACTATTATTCATTCACAATCATTCATTCACGAGCCTCTATGTTTCATGTATACATACAGTCAATCAAGTGAGCGCACAGCTGTATGAGCGAGATAGAAATTTTAAAGGACAGCTTTCTCCTTTATATATATTTTTTTTTCGTCATCATATCGATTCAACAAAAGGCAGTCAGTCTTTAATAGCCAAAACGTGTGAAATAAAAGAAGAATAAATAAAACTAGGATAGATTGAAAGAATGTTACGGCACGCACGTAAAAAGAAAAGATAAATTTTACCGATAGAATTTAAATTTAGCAAAAAAGGAGAACTATTAGGTTTATGTATACGCATGACAATAAAATATATATAGTCTGTGTATACTGTCTTACATCCCGACCTACGAAAATATATTTCTTCTTCTCCTCATCATAAACCATAATTCCCAGCATAATCATACACGAAATGTTAGATTAAAATGTTGTTCATGCCTTCGTTTTTTTTTTTTTTTGGAAATAGAAGTTATTAAATTTTTTATGAATCGACTCCTATTATTTATTTATGACTTGTTGGTGATTCACTTTATGTCTTGGCGTGACTATTTTTTTTTTCTTGTAAGAAGGAAATCCATTTACACGATTTTTTGACTATTCTAAAAATAGCATTTATGTATTTTGCAATGTTAATGTTTCTTTTTTTGTTTATAGACATTTTGTTAAGATCACGTACATTTTGTGTATTTATGTGATGTGCTTAAGCTGATTTTCAAGGTTGGGAATAGTTTTGTGAGTCCATTATAGAAAAATTCGTGTATTATCAGATATTGACAACGATAGTCTTAACATCTTCTATAATTATATTATTTGTACAATTCCCTGATAGATTTGAGTTAATTAAATATCAATTCCCTTCTTAATATAGCTTATTTCGTAACAAGAAAACCTAAATTCATTAATTTATTATCCGCAAAGTCAAGAGGAAATGCCACAAATTTCATAACCAGAAACACATCAAGATCATTGGCAAAGTCATTTTATGTATCACATATTGAGCATAAAATTTCATTGAAAACATTTTCATCTGCTTTAAGTGAAAAGCTTGCGATATATATAACATTATAGTTTGTACCTTTTTACACTAAATTAATTAAAATTACAAATTTTCTCATCTCATTTAATCTGTTCATTACCACAAAAATGCGCTGTTCACTTCAATGACTTTACTATCTGTTTTTCTTTGGCTATAATGAAGCATGAGGCCAACATTGGAGATAAAACTCTTATTTTGCCTTACTTTTTGCAATAATGAATGTGTAATATCAAACGAAAATCTAAAAATATTTCTTTTTAAGTTTTCGAAAAAAAAAGATTTTTTTTTTTTTTCATTTGTAAATAGACGTCTTGATCTTGTTTCTGTGCCACTTAAAGCATTCTCTATAATGATGATGATGATGATTAAGATTGAATGAATGTTATTTTGCGCAACAAATATTTGAAAGCAGTACATATGGAGAACAAAAGCTAGTCATTGAACAAATCGTCTACTGATAATGATTCATAATGAAAATATGGAATTTGAACTGAGCGAGACAAAAATAATGCGAGCTTCTTTCGATAAGTGCAATAGAATTGATAATCTTTTGACTCTTTTGAATATTTATTGTTCTGCTTCTTGTCTCATTAAAAATCAGAATTAGCACTCTGCTTAAAAAGAATTATAAGTGCTAATACATATCCGGAATTAAAATAATTAATTTAATTTATACACAAAATTTACTACGGACATATTTTCATTGTGAACATCTCTAGTTGGATATACAACGTTTTTTTTTTTTATTCTGAAGATTCATTTGGCAACATTTGCAATTACAATTAATGCTAAAATTCCTTTAACTCATGACTATAAAAATATATTTGCGTCATTTTTGTTATAATATTTATCGCGGTTTATCAAATTGAGGAACTTCACATATTGTCTGTGAGGATGTCTATCTGTTGAGGTACACAAAAGACCTGCAAAAAAAATTCTATTGTATAATGATATCAAACTGCTTTAATCCACTTGCCTCCTCAAATGTAATTATCAACTTACGTCGTTATTTAACCTAAATAGATCTAACATCGAAGATATCTTTTAATCAGATACTTGAAAAAAATCTTGTAGCATGCAGCAACTCTAAATCCTCAATTTTAAATAAACCATCTCCAACTCTTGATAAATGCGCGTTATTCCATCATAAACATCCAAACTTGTTGTTTTGGTTAACAGAAAAAGCTCGCTTTCATTATTTGGCGCTGTGATTATATTTGTAATAATTTTTATCACCTAAATGAATTCATCAAGTTGCTGTATTTAAAAACGAAAAATTGTTGGCAAAAAATCTGAGAAAAAAGAATTTACATCTGTTTTTCATTAATTACTTCCTCGTGACTCACTCAAAACAATGTTTATCAGCTTATGCTATAACAATTTTTACTTTTCGAAATATTTATCTACTCTTTCACATGAACTTGCATGTATATTTAGTCTGTGGAATGTGAGACGGTATTGTTTAGAAATTGTTGTGGACTTTTCAAGGGTAAAGCTAATGGCAATATTAGTTCGAAATGTGAATGTTCTGAAATCTTTCAAAACTATTTGATAGCACTGACATAACATAAATTTGGCGGGAATCTCCACTTGAAAAAACTCGAAAGCGAAATGATATGAATAAATTAAAAAATATATAAAAATATTTTGTAATATTATCTCGTCTGTTTTTTCAAGCGCATGGTGGATTTCTCTTAATTTCAGTTTCGCATCATGATTTTCCTTTTTAAAATGACTCGTTTTTTGGCTCATCGATGTACTAACTGTCCATAACGTGAAATACATTTCAAAAACCGGTCAAATTATTTACATCATTAGAAATCTATTAAACATGTAATTGGAAAAATCATTAAGAATAAACCTGTTTGCTGATAGACGAAAAGTTAATAATAATTGGAACAAAAGCCTACATGTAAATTTAATAATGAGAATATTGCTTCAATTCATACATATAGAAAGTTTTGTAATGTACAATTGTAAGTGACATTATTCGACAAAATTGCTTTACAACAATATAGATTTTTCAGGCTTCCTACGCCATAAGCAGGAATTCAGTAGTAATGGATAGAATTATTAGAAGACGATGTAGGCAGCATAGTGTTAGAATCGATTCTGATTTACTGACTGTAGAGTATTTTTTGTTATTATTAGTTCTAGGTTCATCTACTTATGACCTGCCTTCATCGAATGCTTTGTTACAAAATTCCTAATCTTTACTTTTAAGTGCTGGACATGATAATCAAGTCATTTAATGGCTGTTCATATTTTATAAGTATCGAATTTGTGTCAATATTACTTGTTTCCCTCATAAATATACATCCACAAAATTTCTATCGCTAGTTTCAAATCAAGCCGATTTGTTACACTAAAAGCTTCATAATCTATTGCTATCTGGTTGGAGACTTGAATGACACATTAATTAAACATATCATATTCTATTTCCGACAACCCCCAAAGGCACAAAACTACTTTCAATGTGGGAAATCCATAAAATATTAAAATCTAACAAGCAATTTAAATGTTCTTTGATATCAAATATAAACCACAAATAAACTTACAAACTCATATCTTATTTAATTATTAAGGAAAATGAGTTTTGGTCCGCCATATGCGGTTACTTATTTAATTTTCAATCGTATAATTTTTCAATCAATGTCATTATTAAAGATTTATATTTTTCAATCATTAAATGTGGCCGAGACGTGATGGGAAAAATATTTTAGTCGCGAGTCAATTCCACACACAATCATCATTCCGTCATTATTAATTTATCAGAAAATGTATATTTTTTTATTGGGAAGCTTTCGCCGACAATTGACGATGTGATGTTTATGAATATAGATAGTTGAAATATTATGTCAATATATGAGAGGTGTTGACATGTACAATATAGCAGTAATAATAGACGTCTCCTCTAACCTCCCTCAATTCATTCATTTCATTTCATTCATGCCATTATTTTATTTTTTTTTCGTTATGTGTGTCACGAAATGCTCTAATCAACAAGTTGCTCAAATCTATTTACAAATATTTATGAGTCGAAATAAGAAGAAGGAACTAGAGGAAAATTGATTGTTTTTTTTTTGTAGATTTTTATGTTTATTTACATGTCCGACTCCTATATGAGATAATAATTAATTTTGATTGTATATTTTGCTATCTGCAATGCATTTTATGAATTTCGTAACTGCTCATCAAGAATTTTGATTATTATAATTTTAACGTTTTTTGACTTAATCTTATTTCCATTTCTATTTTTAGATTATGTTCCTTGACAATAACTCGTCTGTCGCTTCTAACGACACTTCCTTCAGATTATACATCACTATCAATAGCAGTTAAAATGCAAAGTTCAAAGAGGACTTTACGTTCACATGAAATTCCAGTGCCACAACTAACAATTCCATCATCATATGGAGGAACAAATATGAATATAAGCAGTCCACCAATACTTGAAATTGAACTAGATTTGCACTTTAGTTTACAATATCCACATTTTTTGAAACGTGATGGTAATAGGTATGTGATCATCCTCGAGTAAAAATTCCAATTACAATTTTGCATGGATTGGAATCATCATTGTTTTTACTAACAAATTGAATATTTTTAGATTATTGATTCTTCTTCAACGACGTAAGAAATACAAAACCAGAGCGATTCTTGGATATAAAACATTAGCGGAAGGTGTTGTCAAAATGGATGCTGTGTTACAAAAATCGATGGATCTTAATGTTGAATTGAGTGATACGACATGCAAGAATGGACGACCCGGTTTTCCAGTTGCCATAATTCGGGCTAATCAAATAACATCAAGTCCTGTTGATCAAATTGACAATAAAAATAATAATAGTGTTTTAATTGCTGGTAAGATTTGTCATCTGCTTTATTTTATTATTCATGACTCCTCTTTTAAGTCGCATTCTTTTAAGTCGTGTATGAACGAGATTTGTCAACTTATTTATTTTTCATTGGAAATTTATCTATCGCGAGATGACAAAATGATGAGTCTTAAGGAAAATATTTTCGTTTGAATTTTTACGTTGATGCAACATTTTTCACACGAAAATGTCACGATTTTGGGAAGTGAAAATTTAAGCACATAATTTTGGGAATTTTATAAAAATGACTCAGTTTTCGTATTTTACGCTTGCTACATTTTTGATGAAGTTCTAGATAATTTTAATTGAATTTAAAATCGTTTTCATAATGTTACGTATCCCAGTTTTAAACAAAGCCTTTTCTAAAGACTATAAGTCATGATTACATGAGTAAGACTTTAATGACTAAATCACAATTGTGTAATTTACTACTCAAGTAATTTATTAGGAGAAATAATGATTTAAAACTGACAAAAAAATAAAGTTTTTCTTCTTTGTCGATGATTTACGAGTGAATCAGATTTATAAAGAGAATGATTTGCATAAAACAACAACTTGCTAATGTATGTGCATGTATGAAAAGAAGTCATCATAACTTAAGTAAAGAATCGTAAAGATTTCCATTTTTTATCTGCTTACATTTATTTCCCGCTTTTGTGAGACGGGACAGCATTTAATTAACAACTCATTTACAACTGTTTTATGGCATCAAAGTCATTCACACACGGTGATTTGACTGGTGAATGTGCCAAGTGTTAACCTTGAGAACTTTTACGTCACCTAAGGGATTAAGTTGTATTAATTGTTGTTTTGAAGATTCAGAGAAAATGTGTCACTTTGTTAGTTTTGAGAATGTTTGGCAACAAGTCGCTGCTTTTTGATTGCAAACAATTCAAAATATTTATAATTGCATGATAATTGTCAGTTTTTGTCATCTGAAAACTCATCGACTATTGTTCTGTGGGGTTTTGTCTATGACAATTGAATGTCATTGAAAATTTCTCATAGCTAGTTTACAGATGACATCAGTTTTCACTGAACGTCATTAATTTACGATCCCCATACACAGAACTTGGAATGTGTACAAAATTCCTTTAATTACTTTTATGTAAATCCTTAAAATTTGCATTTATTTATAAACTTTTTCTTCAATCCCTTTACAGATAGAGGAATAGGTAATGAATATTCAGATGAGGACGAAGATCAAGAGTTTAGCTCAAATGAAGATAATGAAGATTTGGCGGGCTATGGAGCCAAGCGCAATTATGCATCGAAGCGTGATAATTATAGAAAATTAGAAAGGAATGATGTTGAAGGTGATTTAGGGGCAGCACAAGCCGACAGTGATAGTGATTTTGATGGAATGAAAGTTAAAAGTTCACGTGATCCAAACAAAATTAGTCGAGTAAGTATAATATATATTTTTATACCAAAAATACTTCACCAGTAATATTTACGATTATGTTTATCAAATTTTTCTTCTTTCCTTTTCGCATTTCTCGTGTCGGCAATAAATAGCAACGAAATTTCAAGCAAAAAATTGTGGCATTATTAAAGCGTTTCCGTCCTGAAGAATTGGAGGGTGAAGTAAGGCAGGGACAACGCGGCGAGCGTGATTTAGATGCATTATTTCAGGAATTGGAATCATTATCATGCGAGGGAGAGGAATCTGGTTTAGATATTGACAGTATATCCATTGGCTCAACACCAAAACCATCTTTAAGACCATTTTTTACTAATTCAAAGCAGGACAATATTGTGGGTAAGTAAATGTCTCTATTCTATTGCTTTTTTCGTTCTTCTTCATTTCCTTTGCAAAAAAATAATAATATAAAACTCATTTTGTAACATTTGCATTTTATTGAGTTTATAAAAGTTAAGAATTTGTTATGTTAATGGATTTAAGAGAATGAGAAAAAAAGAGGGGGGAGATTGGTGAAATGTTTTTATTATGCTCCATCCTATATTAAGCTTACTAACGTTTGAAAAGTAATTAGAATGAATTTTACCGTCTCTCTAGCTCTCGTTCTCTCTCTTACAGCTAACAAAATATATTTATTTAATTAACATGAGAAAAATTTTCATTTAGTTGCTTATTTCCAGTAATTGATAACGCAATTTTTTATTATATGAATATCTGATTATATTAGATTGCATTTTGTGTTATGAATAAATTTTTAAAATATATTAACAAATGGCCTTTGGTCTGCAGAAATATAATAGGCATGAAAACTAATCACTAATTTGAAGCGTATTTTCCTTAATCAGGATTTTCTTCATGAATTCGAAAGCTTCGATTTTTAATTTCCAATTGACATTTTTAAAAAAACTTCAATTTTCTAATCATCAGAAGATATTCTGATTCCACGCGAGAAAAGTGCGCTATCGGCATTATGAAATTGCCTAATATGGTTATCAATTATTTCTCATTAAAGTTCTCAATAGTTTTGGTATTAATGGACTTCCACGATTTTTTATACGCTGATCTTATTTGGCACGTTCATTATAGATAACAAGTAGTTAAGAGTTCGTAAAGGTTTTATGGAAAATAAAAATCAGAATGATGTATTAATCTAAAAACCCTAGAATAGAATTAGATGTAGGGTTTGTTATACACGAAAAGGCACTGCGATCATAGATCTGTTGTACCATAAAACCCTAGATAAAATACTTTAAAAAGTTCTTCAATTCCACAAAAAGTTTATTTTCAATGTTTAGAACCCCAAAATTCCTCTCCATATCATGATGCATTTGGATACAATCAAAACTCTGTAATGTTATTCTCATGCAATTTGCATAAAATGTCTCTATTGACAAACAAAAATTTAAAACGAAGAAATCAAATTTGTTCGAAAAATATTAAAGGTAGAATTCCTTTCTATTCTCAATATCCATAACATCCATAAATATAGTTGGAATAGCTTTAAAATCTTTCTCGATGATAAAAAGACATAGTTGGAATCGAGAATTGTCAAAAAAGGATAAAGTTGTGATTTTCGCAGAGTTTTGTATGAAATTACATACTTCACAAATGCAAAAACTCAATTTTGTAGAAAGTGATCAGGTTTTAGCCAAAAATTTATAAAAGTTTTCATGCAAAGGTTTAGTAAAATCAAAAAAATACTATAAAAAAAAACTTTTTTTTAAAAAAGCACGCTTTTATTTCCGATTACAGTGCACTAAAAAGGAGAAAATAATTTTTTTTCTAAACACTCAAATATGATACAAAATTTTATGACTAAAAATAAAAGCGTGGGGCGTTCAATTTAAACCTGCTCTAGATTTTCTATAATTTATTCACACTATATTGTAATTTTTCATTTTTTGATGCAACTTCTGTAAACGAAAGACCTTTTAACATTTTGAGATCGTTCACAAATTCAAGATTTAGTGATATATGCAAGAACGCCCCACGCTTTTATGTTTAGTCATAAAATTTTGTATCATATTTGAGTGCTTAGAAAAAAAATTATTTTCTCCTTTTTAGTGCACTGTAATCGGAAATAAAAGCGTGCTTTTTTAAAAAAAAGTTTTTTTTTTATAGTATTTTATTTTCTACTTTTTAGTCGTGTTAAATGTATGAATCGATATTACTTCCAAAATTTGGAGTTTTTGTTTTATTTCAACACTGAATTTATCAGACTTAATGAGTAGGTTACAGTTTTTAGATTACAGGAAGTTTTAGAATCCACTTCCTTTCACTTGAATCGGTTCAACTGTTCATAGATTACCATTTTTTAATGGATAATTAGTAAAGAATGTCAAAATTCTTCATTCGTTTTAAATTATTTAAGTCATACCTGAAAACACATAAAACTCTTTTAAAAATGTCCTAACTTCAATTAAAGATTTTGTGTTTATCCGGACCATTCCTACTACATAACGTGTGGATTCTTTACATAAAGATGCAAATCCCATCTTTATGTAATTTGCATATAACCGATTTTCAAATTTAAATTCAATGAATGTCATTTATATGTTATGCAAAAATACGTCATGCCGTTAAAAGAGAAGTCTATTTAATTAAATTGGTGAAGTGTTATAAATAATGTAATACATTTAAAACAGCATAAATTTATGCTCAAAATATGTGTGCTAAATGCACATCTCATATTAATAGTTATTTTGCATTAATCCGCAACGGACTTATGTTTAACGGTTTTTTTGAAAATTCAAATTTTCACTTACGAATATTCATGAAAAAATCACTTGTCAATTTTTTCATCCTCCCAGAAAATCTTTAGCTGCTCAAAATTATAGTATAATTAATAATTAGTAATATTAATTAAACTATAATGAATCTTATAAATAACTGTTGAGTATTTCAAGTGTAATATTTTAAACAAATCAAAATTTTATATCATTGACATTGGATTTTTTTCCCATATAAAAAAGTTTTACTAAAATTGTATTATAATTAAGCATTTTTGTGGTCCCAAAGTGTTAAAATATTGTATTGTCATCGAGAATACGTGTGCATTTAAAATTTGAGCTCTATTGGAGCAGTGAAAGTGGTCGTAAAATCGATTACAAGATTTGACTCAGACAAACAGTGTGAGTTAAATAAAAGCGTGTAATAAAATACGTTTACGCAATCAGGTTTAAATAGAAGTAAAGTAAAGATTCTATGAACTGTGTCATATGTGATTTGATGATGAAAATGAAGCTTAATTTAAAATCGGTATCTTTAAATTAAGATTTCTTAAAGATTTCACTAAATGTGATCTCAATGCTTTACAAAAATCACAATAGTTGATTTTAAAAGCTTCTTCAAAGAGAAATCTGCTAAAATGATTGCAACCAGCTACTTGTGAATTTTCAATTGTCTATCCTCTCAAAAACATCAATTGATATTTCATTCAAGAATAAAATAACATCTCATTCAAAAGAATTAAAAAATTCCGATACTATAAACCACTTTAAAGGAATGCGATAATTATTTATAACGAAAACGTGTTAAAATATTCAGAACAAGCTTTAAATTCATTGACTTTAGTAAAATGATGATGCACTTATGATTATCGTTGAGTTGATTAACTTGATTTCTGAATAAATATAATGTGCTAATTAGAAATTCATGCTTGCTATTGACGTGTCCAAAAAAGGTCTGTTTTGAGAATCAAAAGATGAAATTCCCAAAAACTATATCCAAGAATTTTGATGAGAAAGTATGACTTTATGACATAATAAAAAAATTGACTACTTATTCCATAAAAAGTATCTTCTATCCGAGATGATAAGATAACAAGTAAATAATTTCGAGAGTAGTAAGAAAAGGTTCTGCAATAATATTCTTTGCGTAGTTATTTATTTATATGACATAATCATCAATAACAAAAAAAAAAAATAATATTGCGTTTAATTTTTGTTGCATGGCTTTTTGTTATGTTTTTCTTTTTTTTTTTCGTTGTTTTTACAGGCTCAAATAACGAAAAATTGCCTCTGGAGAAAAGGGATTCTATAATATCTGAAAAGAAAATTTCGCCGAATGGTCAAGGTTTGTATTTTGGGTTACTTGCAAAAAAAAAAAAATACATTTATACGAACAAAAAAATATGGAAAATCAAGGCCAAGATATTTGTTCCTTGTTTTGTTGAAGAAAAATTGAAATCCATCAATTTAATATGGAAAATTTTCTTTGGAAAGCAACTGTTTTGGACATCGATACGACTTATATATTTCACTGGTTAAGTTCTGTCTGTCTGTTTCGGTGGTTTTCGAATTGTGTGACATTCATACATGACAGCCAACATTTTAGGGGATTCCTAGTGTTTTTTACGGTTCAAGCAAATTAAATTTTTCTTCATTAAAAATAAAGGTGGTCTAAAGACAGCCCCTAAGAGATTTTTTGGAATGTTTCTAATTTCGACGATCTTCAAATAAATGTTTGAATTGAATTTCAAATGTTTTGTAAATCTAGTTTCTCGCCGAATCTTTGAAATTAATATGCCACGAACTTTAAAATGTTTAATTTGTATGATAAATAAATATTGGAATGTCATTAAATGTGTGAAAAACTAGATCAGTGGTGCTTAACCTTTGTTCCAAATCAAACTAAAGCTTAAGTCAGATTGATTAAGTCCTTAAGTCCTAGTGACGTTAATCTCACCCTGTAGACTGACCATTATTCAAACAATTGAAAAACTGGAAAGCTTTCTCTTTATTGACAAATAACTTCTTGACGAGTAAATGTTTTCGATGCTATATATGATACTTAACGTGTAATCATAACGGTTGCTTGTCAGTAAGTTTCTCGAAATTCAATAACTCAATAATAATAAAAGAAGAATTTGCAGTTTTCGAAATCATTATGACTATTATGGTGCTGTATTATTGTTTAGTCTTCTTTGTGTTATGCTGTTTTGACTGACAAGCAATTTGACTAAACGATTGAAATACTATCAATTACTGTTAATTACTCGAATCGATCATGAATTTAAAATTGTTTCATGTGAGAGTTTTATGTTTTACTGTACTTGTAAATTACTTAATTATCTCGATGAATTAGTAAGCAGTAATTACCTGCTAAACTCTTCTGATTCATATAAATTTTTTAATTGAGCTTTAGTGTTTCTTATGAAAATCCTTGGCGCTCCTTGAAAAGTTTGACGGAACAGTAAAGTAATGGTTTTTATATTCAGGATTCGAAATTTTCTAAAAACATTTAATGTGACGTGTTCTGAAAAGTTTAAGAACCACTAAAAAACAGCCTCGGATGACATCTCCAAATGTTGGGTTGAACATGAACCAACATTCTTGGCTAGTTGTGCTTGAAAACTCACATTAATGTTGTGCATAAAAATTACTGATCGGAAACACCAAAATGTGATGCAAAAAAATCTTCACAGCTTTTTTTTTCTCTTTCTCTTCTCACTTTACTTCTTCCTTCAATTTTTTAACATCTCTAAATCTAATCGTACTCAAAATTTACATCCAAGATGTTTCCTAATTTCCTTAAACACTTCAAATATGAGAAATTTTTTCCAATCGAATTGTTATTTGTAGCCAAACTCGTTTTTGCTCTTTAGTTTGCCATTTCTTGTGTCGAAAATGATTTTGCTTTATGGAGCATGTATACATTTATTTTAGGTATTTTTTTTTTGTGCTGTACATAGAAACAAAAGGAAGTGATTATGCATGTAATTCTGTATTTACGGCTGGATGGAAAAAAAGTTCTTTTCTATCTTTTATGGCTGAAAAAAAAAAACTTTTTTAAAAAAGCACGCTTTTATTTTCGATTCCAGTGCACTAAAAAGGAGAAAATAATTTATTTCTGAGAACTCAAATTTGATACAAAATTTTATGACTAAAAATAAAAGCGTGGGGCGCTCTTGCATATATCCCAAAATCTTGAATTTGTGTCAATTAAAAATCATCCATATATGTTTGCACAAGCATTAGGTTTGTGAATATATTATAGAAAATCTAGAGATGGTTAAAATTGAACGCCCCACGCTTTTACTTTTAGTCATAAAATTTTGTATCAAATTTGAGTTCTCAGAAAAAAATTATTTTCTCCTTTTTAGTGCACTGGAATCGAAAATAAAAGCGTGCTTTTTTAAAAAAGTTTTTTTTTATAGTATTTTATTTTCTACTTTTAAGTCTTATCAAATCTGTAAATCGATTCAACTTCCAAAATTTGGAGCTTTTGTTTTATTACAACACTGACTTTATCAGACTTAATGAGGAGGTTACAGTTTTTAGATTACATGAAGTATTAGTCTTCACTTCGTTTAACTCCGCTTCGTTCAATTGTTCATAGATTACAGTAAGTTTATAGGTTACAGGTGTGTTAAACTCGAATTCGTTGCACTTTCCAGTTTTACAAGATTACCAGTTTTAAATGGGTAATTTGTAAAGACTATCAAAATTTTTTATTCGTATTAAATTATTTAAGTCATACCTGAAAACACACGAAACTCTTTTAAAAATGTCCTTACTTCAATTAAATTTTGTATTTATCCGTACCATTCCTACTACATAACGTGTGGATAACATAAAGATGCAAATCACATCTATATGTAACGTATTTATAACGGATTTTTCAAATTTAAATTCAATGAATGTCATTCATATGTTATGCAACATTACGTTAAGCCGTTAATAAATAGAAGTCAATTTAATTAAATTGGTGAAGTGTTAAAAATATTAGAATACATTAAAAACAGCATAAGTTTATGCTCAAATTATGTGTGCTAAATGCACATCGCATATTGATAGTTATTTTGCATTAATTCGTAACGGACTTGTGATTAACGGTTTTTTTGAAAATTCAAATTTTCACTTACGGATATTCATGAAAAAATTACTTGTCAATTTTTCATCCTCCTAGAAAATCTTCAGCTTCTCCAATTTATAGTATAATTAATAATTAGTAATAATAATTAAACTATAATGAATCATATAAATGACTTTTGAGCATCACAAGTATAATATTTTAAACAAATCAAAATTTCATATCATTGACATTGGATTTTTTTTCCCATATAAAAAAGTTTTACTTAAATTTTACTATAATTAAGCATTTGTGTGGTTCTAAAGTGTTAACATATTGTATTGTCACCGGGAATACGTGTGTATAAAAAATTTGAGCTCGATTGGAGCAATAGAAGTGGTCGAAAAATCAATTACAAGATTTGACGCAAATATACAAACAGTGTGAGTTAAATAAAAGCGTGTAAAAATATACTTTCACTTTTATTCCAATTTATTTTAATGCTAATTTCAGTCATGATTCATTATTATGAACGCTGGACGTAATAAAGTTGAAACAATGCCAGAGAATTGTTTCTCTTCTTCCCCTTTTCATTATATTCTATATTAAATTTCATTTTGTACGGTTGTTTGCTGTAAATTTCATTTATTAATTTGCTTGGTTATAATTTTTCTCTCTCTTAGCTTTTAAGCTTACAGCTCTCGCTACGGATGTTGTGTGAAAACCTTCTGAGTTAATTAAAAAAAAAGTTTTTAGCGCAATTTCTTTTGAGCACTAAAAAAATGTCTCCTTTGACTGGCTGCTATGTAAACGTGTTCATTCTGTATCGTCAAATTAATTAACGGATTGTTCACTTATTAGGTTGTTTGGACTTAATAAGTACATGATCCCTGATTTGTGTAACAACCTAAGATGTAGAATCTACAAAGGCTCAATTTAAAACTGCTTATTTCTTAGCTCTTGAATGTTTCTAAGTCATTCAACTGTTGCAACTTTTGCCTACCAAGAAAAGCGCGCTTAAGTGATCAATTTTAAAAACTTTTACCACGACTTCAATACTAGTTTTATTTTACTTTGCCTTGCTCATTCCCCGCTAAATGTGCTTTCTCTGTGTTTAAAAAGGCTTAATGGAAAGTTTTTCATTTTCTCCTTTTAATCCAGGAAAATAAGCAATCAACTTGCCAGTCAACTAAAGAAAATTGTTATGTATATTTATTAATTTTACTGTGTTGATTGAAAGCATTTGTGTAAAAAATTATAATGCATGCCGAGAATGATTGTGCAAAAAAAATGTCTAACATGCCACTATAGTGGAACTAAAAGTGCTTTTAATTTAGTTCCACATAAATAAAATCACAATCCTGGAATCAAAGAAAATTCATCGACGATGCAAAAGCAGCACTGAGAAAAATATCTATTTCCAATTAATTTTATTTTCTTTCATTAAAGATCGAGCTGATAGCAGCGGAAATGAGGGAAATGCAGGAAATACAGATCCCGAGATTGGTGGAGCAAATTCAGATCCACAAAATACAAGTCCACCAAAGGACTTGCCAATATCATCATCGAGTGATAAAAGGAAAACAATTTTCCGTACATCAAGCAATACGCCATCGAGTGCAAAAAAGAAACAATCATTGAGTTTTACGACTGAACCAAAAATCAGTACATTAGATACATGTTTATCGCCAACAAATGTTGAACCGAGAAAATCATTATTGGAGCAATTGAGTCGAACATTTTCGACAATTGATGAGACTGTCTTACCTGACGTTGTATCAATTCTCGGACAATTTGCGGAGCCTGGAAATCTCTTTACGCATCGCTTAACGACGTTATTATCAAACATTCGTCCGAGTATTTATTTGTTCCATGCTCACAATACGGCTGAAATAAAAGCAATTTTACAATCACTAATGAGTAAAATCCAAAAATAGTAAGCCAATCTTAAATAAATTTTGTATTTTTATGGCATTAACTTTTTGATTTCCAATTTTTTAGCTGCAATTCAACAGCAAAACCTCCAAGTACAGTTAAAGTTCTCTTACTAGGCGGTGATTGGCTTCAAGGATCTGTTCTTAGACATTATGTTGAATTATTAGGAAGTAGACCATCAGAATGGCTTAATCATATACGATTCTTCATTGTTCCAATTGGTTCTAGCGCTATATCACGTTATTTAAGTTCATTAGACAATAGTTATGCATCGTTATTTGGTAATGAGACATGGCAACAACTTTGCTCAAATAATGAAAGCTCTCAGCAGAAGATCGATTCACTTGAGATAACGAATCGGATTCAAAGATATTTACACAGTAGTGGTCCATGCACACAAGTTCCAATAGCAGAAGCAATGATAACACGAGATGAAGATTCGTGCCAAATATTTGTACCATTTATCACTGTAAGTTTATAACAAGCTTCTTGTTGCTTGATACACAATTAAATAAATTTTTATTTTTCTCACCTATAAGGATGTTCGTTTGGGACAATTAAATGAAGGCACTCAATTATCATTAGATTTAGATGAATCAATGAGCACGATTACTTCAATATTATCAAGCTCACCGCCAACAACTGGAGGACGTTTATCTCCAACACAGCCAAATGCACCATACTCATTACTTCAAGAGCCATTGGAATTGCAAGTAGATTATTGGCCATTCATTCGACCGATTATTGATGCTAAAGATAAGAAAGAAGCAAAGAGTCAGGATCAAGGGAAGAATAGCGTGAAAAGTACATTCAAAAATCTTCAGGTAATTCTAAATATTGACTATAAATAACTGGCAATAATACAATATATTCATTTTAAAGGTTTGGCGATTACCATTAAATCCAGTCACAGGAGGAGAAGTTTCAAATGGCTTAACATTGTGCTTTGCAGCGAAAGAAAAGAAACAGAAGAGTAAGTCCATATGATAATTGAATTGGCTCTGCATTATATCTTTTTTGAAATTCACAAAACTATGCGAATCGTTATGGAAAGTTCTAATAAGGCAATAAAAATTTTATTGCTAAAAATTTCAATATTTTTATGGGAAAACTTGAATTAATAAGTTTTGAAAGCATTGAGGGATGTTAAGTAGAGACTTTTTATTCGACTGTAAACTTAATACCTTAAAGAAAAGTTCTGTTGAGTGTTAAAAAGTTTCAATGCTTTTAAATTTGGTGGGAAAATAAGCATAGATTATACATAAGTTGGCATAGATTGATGAATGTGGATAATAATTTTTGTTAATGTTATCTTTTAATTCTGCAGTTATGAGATTGGGGAAGAAGAAGGAGAAAGATCGTGATGGAGATAAGGAACAATGCATTGATAATGTTGCACGTTTGATTTGCTCGCCAAAACAACATTTAGCTCCATTAAGAGGTAAATATAGAGCAGTTCTAATTAAGTTGGATTAAGAATTAAAAAGAAATTTCAATCTTTGTCTAGTCTTAATCGATGGAACTGAATGGACAGGCGTGAAATTCTTTCAATTATCATCACAATGGCAGACGCATGTGAAGAATTTTCCAGTAGCATTAATTGCACCATCTGAAGTATCGTAGACGTATTAAGTCGAAGGATGGACAGAAAATAAGTAAAATATAAAATTGATTATTTAAAGGAATTGGTAAGATATTACGCCAAATTATATGCAACTAGTCATCAACAATAAATTCGTGCATTTCATTTTAAGAGAATTAAAAAAACAAAATGAAGTGAAAACTTTTTGATTTCAATGTTTATCAATTATTGATGATAAAACAAAAATCTATTGTAAAATTTCTGTATAAAGCTAGTCGATTTTTATTTGTCTAATGTAAAATTAATCTTAGTAATATACATAATCATTATCAGCATTGCTTATATGCATCAATAATAGAATTCAACATATTCAAAAATGAAATAAAATAATAATAAACGTTTTTAATAAGATGAAAAAAACAATGATAATTTTAAAAGAACATTAGAAAATCCAAAGATTGGAATGCTTTTTGAAAGGATATTTGTTGAGAAAAAAAATGAAATTTTATATAGTTTTGCAGGCTTCGGAGTCGTTAAAAAATTTATTGTTGGTAATTTAATACTTTACTTATTTTGGCTGAGATGGAAATGATTTGTAGATTTACGGAACTTTGTGATTAAAAGGATCATCAAACTACACAACTTTAGTATTTCTCAAAATATGCTTCGCGACGCACTAGATTCTTCAAAGATTTTTGAAAATTCGGATTCTAATGATTGAGAGATTAACTTCTGGTAGGAATCGAACCTTCATCTTCACAAAAAAGTGGATAACAGATTGCAGCCTGCTGCTTAACTAGTCAGCCACATATGGCTTTATTATCACACTAGCATATTTCCCTTTTTATACCTCGATAAATTAGATTCCACTCTGATACATCACAAACAGATGATTTAAGGCATGCTCAGTCATAAGCTCTTTTAAGCACGTAAAAATCATTACTCACAAGTCTAAACACTGCTCTATGCATGTTAAGGTTTGTTTTGTCTCGAAAAATGTAGTCGAATTTGTTCATTTGTTACGCACAAAATTAGGAGTTGACAGTTACGCTTCAGAAAATTCCACAAAACAATATTGATTTTCGCGTAGAATAATCAACAATGTCACAACTCAATCAAAAAATAATTGACAAAAGATAGCAAAAAACAAATCATTTCCATCTCAACTCTCATTTCCATTAAAAAAGTATGGTCTCAAAAAATAATTCAATTTTCAACTACTAAAGTTATAATGATTCAGCATGATTTTTTAACACGTACATAAATTATTAGACATCTCAGACTGAAAGAAAGTTTCGAATAAGTCAGCAATTACTTTAAGAAGAATTTCTTCTTTTAGTCTGGAAACGTCTAGAAATCATATGTTATCATGAAAACATAGAAGATATAGCTCAATTTTTCCTAGCTCGAGGCTGAGGCACTTTTTGGATAATTTTATGGTATTGAAAGAAATCGATTTATTTAAGTCTTGAGATCTCAGAATCTTTATATCGTCAAAATTTTAGTTGTCTGGAATTCAATACTTGTGGTGTCTGAGCAGGATGAAATCTAAGGTATCGAACCATATATAGACGAATCTGCCAGTGCGAGAATAAGATCTCTGTGACCTAGTGGTTAGACAACAGACTGTATATCTCTAACCCTCCTTTTAGAAGGGCGTGGGTTCGATTCTCACGAGAGAATGATCTATTAAACTGTCATATAGAGTGTTGTGGATATGACATAGATTCGCACAATGTTCACAACATTACAATAATCAAAGCTCAAATGTTTAAGTTTGATTTTAGAGCTTAAGACAAAGCTAGTTCTTTAAATTAGGGTTGTGATTGTTCAGAAATGACGTTCTCCAAAATTGTGAAACTCTTTGTTAAAGGACAGTCCTGTTTTTTCGTAAGAAACTAGTAGCTTAGAGTGAAAAAAAATCTTCGGGACCGTAAACAAACAAAGTCTGAAAATAACTGTCATTTTTCAAAAAGGAACAGGAGCTTTTACACCCCCCCCCCCCCCTACTGTGACGTCATTTATTAACGATCCATTAATCAAAAATAATTAAATATTATTTCATATATCCAGAAGTTATAGAAAAAGTGTCTAAGCATTGTGCTAAAATTCATTACAAAAAAAAGTACATGCAATACTCAACTACCCGTATTATCCAGAGAGTAACTTACCTTCCACATCAATGCTTTCATTTTTGAATTTCTTTCCTATTTCTAAGGTTTAAGAAAAATTATTGGAAGAAGATTTTTTTATTCCTTCTTCCAACTCGTACTTCATGCATATGTGAGAAATAAAAAATGAAAAAAATTGAAGACGATAAAGAAAGAAAGAAATATTCTTGCGGAATGAGACAGGCTTACATGAATAGAAGATTTATATACAAGTAAAAAAAAAAATTGTAGAAGAATAATTTTTTTATAATATTCGGAATGATCAATCGGTAAATGGTTAGCAATCAACAATATGGAAAGGAGCAGGAACGAATAATGTTCAGTTTAAATATTGATGATGATGATAATAATATATGAATGTAAAAAGAGCTGCATCATTAAATTTAATGATGTGCAGCATTGAATCAAATCAATTTTTATCGCTTTTACCATTTTGGTCATTCTAAACTGTTAAATAGGGCATAAAAATATTCATATAAATGTGATTTTTTTCAGACAAAAAAAAATATACTAGTGAATAAAGTTATAGCGACTAGATGCTCGTCAATAAATAATTCATACTAATTTAAATCTATAGGAATAAAAAAATAAAAAAATAAAACACTTAAGGATGGAATTGGAAATAAAATGACTTGGAAATAATCTTTTTTAGAATCCTTTAGTCATATTTATGAGAATGAGAATGAAGACAAGAATAAAATGTGCAAGATCAGTAAAAATCCCACGGTTGCTCCATTTTTATTTATTGCGGAGCTATAATGGGAGGATGGCTTGTTGGATGTTGATGGTTTTGGGATAATAGCGCATTTTCATGACTATAAATTTAATGGAGACTGGAAGAGGGTTCTTATACTTATCGAAAAACCTTTATTTGCTCTCATATGGGCTACTTAACTTTTGATACAGCACTTAAGTTGTGTTTGAAGCTTTTTCTATGATGCGATGGAGCTGAGGTTTTTATGGGTTTCTTTGGCTGTACATAAATGACGAATATGAAAAATGAGATTTTTAGCTCTGCTTCTACAAGTAGCCACAATTTAAGTTAGATTTAAGCTAGATTTAAGAAAGATTTAAGCTAGTCTTTATGAATTACATTACCCTAATGAGGCGCGTCATTTATGATCGATTCCTTTACAAAGTGGTGGATCTTGTAGATAAATCTGAGTTTCGAAGAATCGAGTTTCTGTGTGAAGGTTGTATGTTCCAGACAAAGCTCTAGACCAGTACTGTCCAAACTGTGTGCCGTAGAAATTTTTTGAAAATGAAGCGAGCCGCATGCTGTGTGCGACTTTGGTAATGGCTCACTCCTAAGATGTGCCGTGGCTCAAAAAAATTTGGACAACACTGCTCTAGACATCAAACGGATTTGACTAGTTCAAACTTACGTTAGTGGTTCTCTTGCTCAGTCTTAAGTCGCATACTCAAGGTAATATTCGCAGCACAGTACTGCACTCAGTCTTAAAAGCTTTTGAGAAGCTTAAATGGTTATAGCTTCATTGGAATTGGGAACATTTTAGTTTCAAAAATTGCTCAAACTTTTTCGACTCGCTTATTATCACTTTGAAGATTTTTAGGCAAACTGAAGACTTTTACTTTTAGAATGTCTTCAGCTTTTACTTAACCAATTGAATTTTGAATTAAAATTTATCTAGTTTGCCTAAAAATCTTCAAAATGGTAATAAGCGAGTCGAAAAAGTTTGAGCAATTTTTTGATACTAAAATGTTCCCAATTCCAATGAAGCTATAACCATTTGACACAAATAAAGATATTTCTATTGTAAGAGGTTAATTGTACATGAACCCTTAATTGTATGAATGGCCCTAATTTTGAATTTATTTCACAATTTACTGATACTGGTCAATATAAATGATTTCTGGTTATTCGAATTGATCTGATTTATTTCAATTGACTGCTCGCATTTTGAGGAATTAATTTTGATGTGGCAATATTAAAATTAATTCATGTTCAAATGTTAATTTAGTTTTCATTTTGCTTTGAAGTGCTACTGAATTATGAATAATTATTGTGAAATTTAAATGATTTTTTTTGATCAAAAATGGTTTTTAATTGAGAGATTAAAGGTTTTTTAAATGCTACAGTTTTGATACATGGCTATTTAAAGTGATTAGTATAAACCTGTTTTAAGACACACCTTGAATTGATACTAAGATCAATTGCATGCGTCTGATCCAGTCTGACTTCTTAGCTCGAAAGAATTGTGAAATAAAAGTTTTGTAAGCAAAAGAACGCGCTCAAGATTTCCTAAAAATACGCTATTATTTTTGTACAAACTCATTCTCTCGTGTAATGACTAAAGGATAAAAATAAAACGACATAAAGTAAATATAACACATAACATAAAATTGAATATTTGAAGCGACAAGAAGAACATAACCAAAAAAAAGAAGAAATTTATCACATTTAGGAAATTGTTATGAGAACCCAAACATATCTATGAATAAATATAACAAATAATAAAAAGTGAAAATTCATGACGACATTTTTTGTGTAAGAACCGAAGCTGGGAAATTTTTTAGAATGAGGAAAAAAGAAAACTGAAAAAAAAAATCAAATAATCGCATTTAACTTTTTGAAATACAAAAAAAAAATAATAATAATTAATATAAAAATGAAACAATAAAAGAAAATTCAAAGAATTTGATTAGTTATTTTCTGAACTTGATTGCTGAACGTGAAAAACTTTATTTCTGCCGGATGCTTCCGTCAGTGTAATGAAAATGGGATAATTACATTTCATTAAAATTCATAAAATGTTCTTGAAGTGTTAATTGAAATTTACCATAATTATACTGCACATTTCTTACTTTGAGAGCTTTAATTGATGCAATTTGTGCTGTTTTATTTCCAAGTAGCAATTTTACATTAATTTACGATTAGATTATTCTCGTCTACAGCAAGTCTAAAGTGGACTTTAATATCATCATTTGAATCTTTAAGAAATTTGTCCAAAATGGAACATTTTAAGTTCTTTTGGTAGAGCTTAGTGATCTGTAAAATGGTAAAGATTTATATTGGGATTAGGACCTAAAACTTAGGATTGAAATTGTCCAAATTGAAGTTCAATGAACTGACAATTTGTTGTCAATCTGAATGAATCTTGAGGTTTTTATTGAGCTTAGAAATAAAGGTCATCCAGGAATGCATATATTGTGATGGAAACTCCCGATAATGTGCCGGGAACGTGAAATCGAGAGTTCCTTATTGAGGACCGATCAAAAAT